CATCGTTGCGTTTAATCAAAAATTTGATTAACTTAATAAATTTAAAGATTAAGCGATCTCATTTTAACACAATCGGTAAATTCAATACGTCTATGAAACAAAGCCATAATTTCTCGTAGTATAAAATATTTGATAAAATTTTATCGCTTACAGAGGTGGAATTAAAGGGTGAGAGATATATAGATAGACTATATATCTCTCACCTTTAATTCCCTATACAAAGTTCGAAAACTTGGGTGCAATCAGATCTGATTGCACCCAAGTTTTCGAACTTCATGTAAAGAATTGCTTGCTATGATGTACTGATCATGAATCAGTACATCATAGCAAGCAATTCTTCATCTTAAATATATTTTTCTTAATCAATACATAACTTGTTCGCAATTTGGTTTTAGACGCTATATTTTAATCTAATTTCGATTTTTTATAAATCGCGTACTTCTAATAAAACGCGATTTCAAAAACAATCGCGATTTTTTTCTGTTCGCAATTTTTCAGAAGTTCGCGATTTTATAAAAAATCGAAATTTTTCTTTGCGATCGAGATTTTAAAATTCGGTTGCGATTTTGCCTATTACACGAATTTAGAATATTAATTGATTCAAATTTAACTGCAGTAGTAGATGAGTGCGGGTTGTGTGACTTTTTTTGTTACATCTATATATAGACGATGCATTAAAATATATTTATTTATAAATCATTAAAAAATTAACATTAATTTATAAATAATTTATTTTTTTATCTTTTATAAAAGAAGCTATATATATATAGATGATGTCAGATATATTATGATTAGAATACAATTGCTAAAATCGAGTCTAATATTTTAGAATATTTTTTTAAGATATTTGGGATTGAGTATTCATACTATGTGATTTTCATAACCAATGAATGTGCCCTACAGTATAAGTAAAAATAAGAATAATTTTTTTTCAATTTGATATCTTTTTTTAAAAAAGTGTGATTTTCACAAAAAAAGTGTTATAGTAGTAGGATTATAGTCCATACAATACTATTGTAATCTCTTTTCTCGAATTTAATTTTTCAATTAGCAATTCGAGAAAAAAAATATTACTTAAAGGACGACTTATCACTCCGAAAAAGACCAAAATTAAGGACGTGATTTTTTTGAAAGTTCGCGATTTTTCAAAAAGTCGCAATTTTTTCCCGAATCGCGATTTTTTTAAAAAAAATCGAAATTTATCGTTCAAATCGCGATTTATTAATAAATCGCGAAAAAATTCTGTTCGCGATTTTTAAAAAATCGCGATTTAAGCTAAAAATCACAATTTATCATCAAAATCTAGATTTAAAAATTCGGTTGCGATTTTGCCTAATATAGATAATGTTACACCAATCATGAAAGCATTGATAATGTCAAGCCCAAACGAAACAATTTTCAAAATGAATGATAAATTCAATTTGCAGACTTATCAATTTACAAACCAAATCAAGTATGTTTTATCTTTTGCATACAATATCTCAGAGTTATTTTCTACATTTAGAAATCCATTACTCTCTTCGATTGTTTCAACAAATAATATTATATCAGTAATGAATTTGAATGAAAGCAAAGTTATTCGTTTAAAGATTCATTTAATCTTCCATGAGGCCCTAATTCAAAATAATGATTTTATGTACAAGAACTTTAATGTTTTGAATCAAATAAAAAACAATGACCTTCTGAAAATTTTAGCAAAAGCTTGTTTGAAAGCTGACAAAAAAATTCAAGCAGATTTTGAACAAATCATGGGTATTAAATTTACAGCGATCAAACAATTTCATGAATCCATAGAAAAAATTCCAGTTGATCGGTCTCCAATTACAATAGATGGTTGCCATATTTGTTTTGAATGCTCTAAAAATACTGATATTGAAAAACTCAAATCAATGCAATTAATTATAATAAGCCCTGGTATTCATATCAATGTGTTAACTTATGAACAAACATTGAAGTTTTTGGAACAAATGCCAGCATTTATTCATTTGGGCCTTTCCAATATAAGTTCTGATCGATCTGTAAACTTAAATTATTTTCTACTTCAAAACGAAGATTATTCCCCTTTAAAAATTTCTACAGATAATTATTATTACTTTAAGATCACATTGTATGACAAAATCGTATCCTTTGAATATTCAAAAGTATCAGATACGTTGTGGATGATTACTGTACCAAAAAACATGAAAAACATAAAATTACCCAAAGAGTTTTCAGGGAGGTTAAAATGGTACATTCAAATAACGAAAGTTGATCTCCCAGGACATCCTCTGCAAGATGAAATACAGGAAAAAATAAAGCATGATAATGAGATTGGTGATATCTTAACTTCATATCCCGGGAAATTTTATGTAAATTATAGCACAACGATAAGAAGTGATAGTTTATTCGTCAATGGAAATCCTATAGAATTTCTTATATATATTCCAAGCGAATCAGGAAATTTGGCGTTGGAGTGTAATTTAATTCACTTAGATGCTACTTTTTCATGGCCGAAATATATATTTATTTTTCCTCGTGGTAATTACTATATGCGAGGTTACCCTCTAGGGATATACATAGGGCGCAGCGAATCATCCGCTGCTTATCAACGGTGGCTTACAGCCATGAATATTGAATTTAAATCATTAAACATTATGGAGCACTTTTCAAGAATCAAATGGATGAGCGATTTAGGTACTGGAGTTTTAAAATTTTTGAATACGAATCATTTCCAAAATTATATCTGTATTAGGCACTATCTCGGAACCATGGGCAATAATACTTTACTACATGTTTTTGCTCTGATAGTATTATTATCAAAATCGGCCCAAGATTTTGAGGACAATTACAAATGTTTTGATCCATCGGTTCAGAAAATGTATGCTACAAAGAATATATCAGATGAGCAGCTGGAAAAATGGAAGCAGATATATAAAGATCAAGAGCATTTAGCAGCATACCACCGCATTCCACCTATAAGCACTAATAATAGTGCAGAGGGTAAGCATAGACACATTAACGAACTTGCAAAAAAAGCAAGAAACTTTTCTACTTTCATCAAATTCATTCTGAATGATACTATCATTAGGATTAATGAATCAATTGATCCCATTAATAAGCAAAAACGCGAGAAGAATGACTTGTTAAACGAAAAATGCATACATTGCGGATTCTCCTATAATGATATTAATACTGATAAGAATCCTTGTAAATATTGCAAGGATTTCTTTATGAATAAGAGTCATGTTCCCTCTGCAGGCATACATGTTATGAAAATAGGAGAAAACGTAGGTGAAATCATAGAATTCCCAATCGATAAAAATGTAGGTGATCAGGATGAACTCGTGGATCACAAAGAAAAGAGTTCGCCGATCGAAATATCAAAATACGCAGAATTTATTGATATTGACGATAAAAATAAAGCAGTTTTAGTCGTAAAACTGCTTTATAATCTTGAAACGTTCCAAGATGCCAAAGATTTAATCAATTCTCTGGAAAAACAATCAAAAAATTATGAATCTGCATTACAAAATAAACCAGAAATTTGGTTGGAAAAATACTTGCCTGAATTAATGAAGGAAGTAAAAGATGCGAGAGCTGCTAGAATGAGATTGAAGATAATAAAGAAGTAGAGATGATGAGTGAATAAAAAGTTTGTATTAAATTTGTATATAAAAGAATTGTAAAATATAAAAATAAAGAAGTGGTTGATAGGAATTTGAAAATTCGTTGGGTGCACATAAGTTTGATAAATATATTTATGAATATTAATGTCAAATTGGGTGGTTGCATATAGTAATGAAAAATATATTAATAAAAATTAATGTCAAATTGGTTGGTTGCATATAGTAATGAAAATAAGATTAATAAAAATTAATATCAAATTAGGTGGATTCGTGATAGAATGCTTCTGTCTATGTGTGGCGTGAGTTAGCATCGGGTTGTTGCGTGATAGAATGCTTCTGTCTATGTGTGGCGTGAGTTAGCATCGGGTTGTTGCGTGATAGAATGCTTCTGTCTATGTGTGGCGTGAGTTAGCATCGGGTTGTTGCGTGATAGAATGCTTCTGTCTATGTTTGGTTTGAGTGGTGGCTTTCACAAGTTCCCAAAAAGGAAGAATATCCTAAGACAAAAATGTTTCAAGTTGTTAACATTTTTTATCATTTTATTCTAATTCTTAAAAATTTGAATATGCCATTCGCAAATCATGATTTTGCAAAGTTTCGAAGCGCAATGACTTAATTTGTGGTAAATTTCTACTTTGCTTCCGAAGAACAAGTGTGGGCAACGGGTTTACATCTATTGGGTGTTTCACAAACATTTATCGGCAGATATATAAATGCAATTTTTTATAATTCCGTTAAATATAGTCCAAAGGCTATGGGTAATAAAGTAGCTCGGTGCATTTGGGCTTCATTAAATGGAGATAGATATTATTTTAATAAAAACACCTTAAATGATGCCACAGTGTCACAAGCAGATGAAATATCTTTTCTTAAATATATGGAACAAAAAGTTGAGATGAATAGTGGTTTGACACTTGAAAAAGCTGCAGACTTTGCTTACGAAATAGCATGTGAAAGAATTATGTTTTTACAAACTTTTATATAGCCGAAAATAACAGAGAAAGTTAATGAACTTAACGAAAAAATAGGACATCTTAATAATCAAGATATGAAAGAACAAGTTAAAAGTTTTATCAAAGCTATTATGCCAAAGTTTAATTTTTCAATAGGCAAATCAGAAACTATCGAAGAAGTCCGTAAACATTATTGCACTCGTCTTACATTAGTGCGTTGGATGCTTCAATTTTGTAGCATCCTTCAAGGGATTGATCCAAACGTTCTCTGGAATATGAATGAGACCCATTTGTGCGAAACATCTAAAAAAAAGTGTATGTGATCAACAAAGATCATGTTAAGCAGCAAGTTGAAGAAATCAAGTCCTCCGATGATCATATACTCCGTTCTCATGTGTCTGTTGTTTGTACTTTCAATGCAGCCGGAGCCTACTTTGATCCAATGCTTATCCGTCAGACTAAAAACGGAGAAGAAATTCCTCCTCATATTACAAATGCATGTGTTGGTAAGGCTCTGCTTGCTGCAAATGAATCGGGATACATGACAAAAAAGCTGTTTTTAGATTGGGCTAAGCATTTTATTGCTTTTGTAAATAAGAATTTTGGTGAACCGCATTTGAGAGAAACACACTATCTTCTATTAGATTCACACATTTCACGCAGGAACAAAAAAGCATTAGAGCTGTTCAGAGAACATAAAATTGAGTTAATAACTTTCCCGGCCCATTGCACTCACGCAATGCAGCCGTTTGATGTCGTAATTGCCCATAGTTACAAAACAAAAATTCAAAAACAATACGACTTATTATACAAAAATGCTATCCTCAAAGATCCAAGCAAAGCATCTGAATTTAAAGAAAAAATTTTATATAATGCAGCTATCGAAGCGTATAAGATTTCATTCACAAGAACCACTTGTGGAATTGCTTTTGCATGTACAGGCTTATTCCCCTTTTCACTCAACATGTTATTGGAAAGAAAAGGAATTACACCGCTTGATATTGATGTTGAAACAGAAATTCGACTCAAATATCCCTGGAGATTAAGAATCACATCAACTCTTCTCACAGATATCAATTTTATAAACAAATTAACTGATAATGATTTCAGCAAATCAAATGATCGAATGATTGTTTATCATCATGGTTTAGATGCTGCGCTATATCAGTCATTGCATGCTGATGAACATGTTGAAACATCTCAAGTAGCAGACGTTTCTCAGGAATTTTCAATTGATGTTTCTTCTTCTCAACCATCATTTATTCAGAAAAACATGATACCAAAAGCAAGTAATTTTGATCCATTTTTACCTTTTGCAATGGACTTATCATCTCTGAATGTAGTTTTTGAATTTTTACAATTTAATCCGATTATGAAGAAACATTTTGATTTAAAGATGAAATTGAAAAATGAAGATCAGTCAGATTATGCAATATTGCTCAAAGATGTTGGAAAGATATTAACTTCCAATAATAAATCATCAATCAACTCTGAAATCAAAAAAATTGTTGAAATATTGCCAAAAGATCTCAAATATCCAGCAGACTATCTTTTTTACTTTTTCACAAAATTAGCTAATTTAAACAAGGAAAAAAAATTATATTCGTTCAATATGATAGACCATTTTCTTTTTTATAAACAAAACGATCCTGATATTTCCAATCCAATCGAACCACAACTATTACTTCAAGATAAAAATATTTTCTTGAAGAAACTAGCAAGATGGCCAAAATATTTATGTGTGTGTTGGATTGGGGAATTCGAACCTGAAATGTTATTATCTCTCAATTCATCATGCGAGTGATATTATAATTATTACCCTTTTGCAATATTTTTCAGGAACAAAGATACTAGATCATACTCAATTGCAACTATTTGCGACGTAAAAAATACAGCCAAATTCTTGTTTATTGATGATCTAAATAAAGTATACTGCTACGGTAATTTTGAAGAAATGCTTAGCAAATCGAATGAACAAGGGTATAACATATTCAATTTAATTCTTGAAAGAAAGAAAACAGCAGGAAGATCTTAAATCTGAACAACGCTAAATTGAGAAACAATTGATTTGGACAATTGTTCAACATTTAATATTCATTATAATGTTTTTGTTAAATTAATTTTTGTTCTTAGTTATTGAAATGGTCAGGAAAAAGAATATTATATGCAGTTCCACCTCGATCACTTGCAACCCAACTTTATAATGACATCAAAAAAGATTTATTAATTATAGAGAATATTTTATATAAACAATTTAAAGTAGGTATTGCTGAAGGTCCAGGAGCTAAGATTAATCTACACAAGTATCATATTTATGTTGCAACATATGAGCATGCAGCTTCAGAATTAAGAAATAATCCTTGGGTGCAATTTCCTGATAACGGAAGAAGAAATATTTCCACAGTAATTTTAGATGAAGTTCATGAAATAGGGAAAGATAGAGGCCTTATAGTCGACGATATATTATACTATATATATCTCAGAAAAGAATTATATAATATGAAAAATTGTATTCCCCCAGGAGTTATAGCAATGTCAGGAACATTACCAACATGGATGGTTGAAAGACTATGGAAAACATATCCAACATTATTCAATTCAGTTCTTAGCATCGAGGGAGATAATAATGAATCAATAAATAAAGAAATATTTCTCCCTGAAATGCCTACAGTTGAATACTATCCTTTCATAAAGGAAATGATAATTTCTCTTTTAGACGAAAGAACAAATGGATATAAGCATCTTTCTGAACATTTTGATGAAAATCATCCAAAACGAGCAATTATTTTTATGGATACAGTAGCCCATGCAGAAGAATTATACATTTATTTATCATATTATATAAATCAAAAAGCATTCACAGATAAATTTGTCCATCCAAAAATTCGATTTGCAACTCCAAAAAAGACACTATTTAAAAATTTACATAACTTAAAGCTTCAAATTAAAGCAAAAAATGGAGAAGATTTATCAAAAATGGTTGAAAAAATGGAAAAATTGGGAATATATATTCATCATGCTCAACTAAAGGGAGAAATATCAAATCCCAATGGATGGAAAGATGTGATAGAATATCAGATATCATCATGTAATCCAAACGCGGATTTTGTTGCCATAATTTGCACAAGTACACTAAGTGTTGGTATAAATCTTGCACCATCACAAATTGCATTTCTAGCTCCTAATAGTTTATGGACAATTGAACAAGCTAAGCAAATGGTTGGTAGAGTTGGCAGAGATCCAAAAGATAAATCCATATCATTAGCAATGATAGTAGACTCACCACTTTATAGTGCTCCATGTATGACTTCATTGACTGTTCCAAATTCTTGGTTTATTCCACGACTAATTTCGGCTATTGATTTCAATATTGGGATCGATGTAAGAGGATTTTTTGTGCCAAGAACAGCTGCTCCTATTGAGTTTTCTGATATACCAGGAAATGGATTAATTGATTTGGCACAAGAAATCGGATTAGTTGATGGATTAAAATTAAATAACTTGGCTCGTGCAGCATTATGCTTATGCAAATATGATTCAAAATCACTTCCGAGTACTTATTCATTTCTATCATATTTTCAGCAGACATCAGCTTTTCAAAATGAAGAAAATGAAGATAAATGGATAGTTGTTCTTCTATGGGCAATGCTAATATCTAAATTTCCAAACAAATGGGAAAAACTTGATTGCAATGAATTAATACCTTGCGTTTTTTCAAGTAATGATTTAAAATATTCCAAAATTATTGTTAAACAATATGGAGAAACCCATTCAAAATATCCTGGAGATTTAACAATACCTTCAGATTCAAATTTTAAAAAGGTTATTTCATACTTTAATACAATAATTTTGAGCATTGGATTATCGGCCTCAATTTATACAACAGTGGCAAGTGAAAATGAAAAAAGTGATTCTATTATTGATTTAATGATGATTATTATGACCTTAAGTGATTTTATAAACGGAATTCTTGAGGACATTAATGCATTATTTCATGCATGTAATATCACAGGCACAAATATTCATCTTGTTGTAAAATCAATTGAATCTGCATCAAATTTCTTAACAAAATGTCGCAATTTTGGAATGATGGAAGGAATAGAATTTCCCATACTTAATATGAATTTAGATGAAGATATAATGGAAAAAATCAAAAAATTTTCTTCAAATTATGATCCCTATCATCAATACAGGGATTTTTCTTTAGTTTTACAATAAATATTATTTAATTAATTTAACTTCATTTTTTGTAATGACTGTAAGTGAAAGGTTTCGTACCAGAAATATGAATTCTTCAGTTGTAGAAAGTCAAGATGAGGATTTAATTGTATATCATAACATTTCGAATCAAACTTTCTTAGATTTGAAGAAAAAAAGGGATGAATTTATTGATGAATCATGTAAATTAGTCATTTCAACCGGTATTGGAGTAGATCCAAAGGATATTGCAACCGAATATTCAAATCTTATTAATGAAGAATTTAATGATTTTTGGCTACTATTTCTTTCTGATGATTTACTAAATCATTATTCTACTATTCTATCACCAAAAGATAGTTCAAGCGGGAAAATCAGAGAATCTTTAGTTGCGATATCATCTGCAATTGAAAGAAAAAGAAGTTTACAAAGAAAAATTGAAAATTTAATTAATGAAAAAGTTATAGAGCAATTAAATGTTATTCAATGCGCAAAAAATAACGAGGAATTAAGTTCTGAAACATGTGAAAATTTAAACACTTCAAATGGAATCGAAGAAAAGCATAATATTATTAATGTTAGAAATGCACCAATTCTCTATTATGATGTTCCTTCTGAGCTATTTGAAACAATCTCTGATTTTAAATATAATATACAAAGATCTCTCGATGCAAATGATCCATATTATAAAATACAAATTTATTACGGTTTGATTTTATTGATACATGAAAGGATGAAATCAAATAAATATGCAATTGGTAAATCAAACGAAGAGATAGCATCTTTTTTGGTCAATAATAATGTATTTTATGAAAATTTGTCTTTTCATACTTTTGCAGAAGTTGTTAAATTTGAGTTTGAGAATCCGGTTGAATACAATAATGCCTCACTATGCAATTTTACAAATGCAATACAATCTTTTCTTTATGATACTCAAATTATGCCTCAAGATATTCCTTACGGTATAAAGCTGAAATTAATAAATTTTGATGAAGAATATACAGAAGAAAAAATCTTAGAGATCGCAATTAAATTTATTTCATGCTCACTATGCTTATTATATCCTGATTTTAATGTATCATTATTCGCAGGAGCTACATATGAAAATCATGAATTATGCGCTTTAATGAAAATTCGAGTTCCATTAATCTTATTTAATATTGTTATGGATTTACTTATTTCAATAATCCGAGTTAATTCATTTGGATATTTCATTCCATGTAAGTTAGATGAATATTTCATTGATTGTAATATGGAAATAACAAATAGAGTGAAAGAAACTTTTACTCAAATTGAACAACAATTGATTTTTCAACAAGAAGATTCACCAATGAATTTATGGAATTTTTGTTTATGTTAAATTGAAATAAAAGTTTATTTAGATATAAAATTAATAATATTTCCAAATATCTTCTTCTTCATCATAATCAATATACGGAGTATTGTTCAAATAATCATCCCAGAATTCTTGTGAAGCAGCTGGATCGTATAAAAAGATTTCATTTTGAGAAGAATTAATGTCGCATGATTCTTTCACTGGGCTTGGTTCCCGAGTTGTATTAGAACTCGAGTTAATATTTGATTCATTTGATTCTATTATTGAAGTACCTTCTGGGGATTTAGAATCATCCTTAATATCATTTGCTCTTAATTTATTATTACTAATGTCGTTTACTTTGTTATCCATTTTAAAAATGATATCAGAATTAATTATCTTTGAGAATTCAATAATTTTGGAGTTCAAATTTTTATTTTATTTTTGTTTAGCTGAATGCTATTAACACCTGATGATATAATTGAATATATAAATTTATTAGCAAAAGATACTTGCCAAGAGAAAAATCTCAAAAGCAATGATGGATACTATACTTTTTATATTTTAATTATTCTGTGCCTTGTTTCTTGTTTATCATTATTTGCCTTCATGTACTTACGACATATAAGAAAAGTATCACCATTACAAATTGTGAATAATAATGATATCCAAGATTACTTAAATCCATAAAAATTTATTAACTATTTTAGATAATGTCATCATTCCAAACTGTGACATTGATTTTTCTTTTAATTTTTTCAATAATTGTTTTTATTGGAATTATTTTCATTATTTTTTATCTTTTCAAGCCAAAATTTTTAAAATTTTGCCATGAATCCAATGATTTACAAGAGGACTTGCTTAATAAATCAGATGATCCAGAATTAGGTATTATCAGATTTTCAGATGATTTAAATATTATTAATAATAAATTGCAGGAAGCAAGAAATGATAAATTTCGAAAACTTTGGCTTCGATCTCAGAAAACGATTTCAAACGAATTGATTGAAAAACATAAAATTCAAATGGTTGCACATGAAAACTTATTGGAAGCTGTAAGTAATGGGAAAAAAGATTATGAATATAAAAAGAAACAACAAGAAAAAGAAAGAAGTTCAATACAAAACGAAATTGTTAAACAAGATCAAAAAGTCCTAGAACTAATACATAAAAAGCAAAATTTGGATGCTGAAATCTGTAAATTAAATGAAGATTTGGCAAATATATCCGAAATGAGTATTGAAGAAGATAGAAATCATAATAATAGTATTTTGAACTTGATTCAAAAAAGAAATGAAAATGTCGAGAATATTAATCGACTGGAAAAAGAAATCGAACATAGAACAGATATTATTAATAATGGCATGAATAATGAAGTTAATAATGAAGTTAATAATGACTGTATTGAAAATAATAAAGAAAATAACCAATCCAATATATTAATTAAATCAAATAGTTTTGAGAACTTTGATTTAAATGAAGATAAAGATAATACATCAACTATTTCAGAAAGTTCCAAAAAGAAATTTTATGGAATTCTCCATTTTATCTCAGAAAAGATTCTACCAGAAGATAAGCCTCTTTTGGATATTCATGTACCTCAAGCTGGTGATCTAAAAGATAAAATTATCCATCAAATCAAAGAATTAAAACCAACTCAACTTTGTGCTATATCTCAAAATAGTACTACTGGAAAAATAGAAACTTCCAAAACAAAAAAAAAATTTAAAAAAGATTCTGCAGCAATGCTAATGGCTGAGCAATTGAAAAAAGCTCCCTGGAATACCATTGAGCAGGTATAAAATTTTAAAAATTTCACTTTTTTAACATATTTTTTATTATGTCATGGATGCTACACGTTCTTGTATCAATGTGTTCATCAATGTATATAAATCCATCTGGATTAAAAATTCATTCGAGAGCCAGTTTATCTAATGATATTATCGAATCAAATATTTCGTCTATGGATATTGCAAAATGTACATTATCTGAACCATTTGGTATCAATGTATCTTTTACTTATGAAGGAAAATTTGTCTCAAAATGGACAAAAAACATTACAGGAAAATATATATGTGGAATAGGCGATGAGTGGCAGCAATTTCTATCAGTAACAACTAGTCAACATGCTGAATGTAATCCAGCTGGTTGCATATTAGTTTTCTTTTTAAGTATAATATTAACCTTAGCATTTACAGGAACATGGCCAACTATAGATTCAGTAAAGAAAAAACTAGATGCTTTTTCCGCTACCCTTATGAATATGTTGCAGAGAAGTTCTGTCCAGCAGACAATGAATATTTTCAATGCTGTTTATTTGATTGTTCCACCTGATCAAGCCGAATCTTTTGGTTCAAAAGTTGAACAAGTTGCAATGAATGCAGCAGATGAAATGGACAAAACTTTTGAAGAGGAGAGAAAAAAGATGGATCAGGAATTAATTGGTTCTGGAGTTAATAATGAGCGGCAAAAAAGAATTTCTTTATATAGCAAGATTTATATGGTCTTTTCTGCTTTCCTGGTATTTGTGGTATCAATAGCCGTTTCTCAGGTTTATTGCGCTCATATGAAATGGCCAAACATTGTGATGATGCAAAATACATTAAAATGCTACGAACTTGACACATCCGAACTTCCTATGGGATTTATTTATAATCAAAATCTAACTATCACAGAAAATGCTAAAACAAATGATAATCAAGAAATGAAAAACATTTCTTCAAGAAAAATATTAGAAGATGTTCATATCAAAACATATCAAAACAATTTAAACACAGCAGTCGTTTCTTTTAATGATGATGTTGCAATAATTACATCCGATTGTGAATCTTCATGGGTAAAATTGGATGATAAATCACGATATATTGTATATCCATCTACTGAAATTCAATGCAAACAAGTTGATGCAATAAAAATTGGACTTGCAGCAAAGCGTACTAAAGAAAAATGTGGAGATTCTCCGATATATAAAATGCAAAATAAAGAAACAATGCCGGATGGTTTAGCTCATATCTGGAAAAAGAATGGAATAACACCAAAAGCATGTAAAAGGAGTTTGGGGCTTTTTAGTGTTACATGTGATGTAGTTTATGAAGATTCGTTAGGCTTTTCTAAAGAAAAATTGAATTGGACATATTGCAGATCATTATCTCGCCCTGCAAGAATGGTTAAAGTTGATGAAAATGGGGATCCTATTACTGAAGTATCGAATGAAGATTTTAAGGCAGGATTAACTGTTGATCCATTCCAATCGCGACAAGATGGCTGGTATACAGATGGTGTGAACGAAATAATTGTATCCTCAACATTTAATCATGGAGTTGGATCGAATATACTTTTTGAAGACAAGGCTTCCCTATCTAATGATAGAATGGAAAAACTTCTTGAGTAAGATTATTTTACCTACTCTCTTGATGGCTGGTATGCAAAAGAGAATCTTCCAGGACCAATGGTTAAAGCAAGCAATTTACAATGCAGGATGCAATACACATTATCGAATATCAATAAATATAGACAAACGGCAAATACTTGCAATGATGTTAAAGCAGAATTTGTAGATAATCAATTTATTAGATTCACAACAACAAGTGATAAAACATGTACATTTTCAGTAGGATTCGGAAAAGATAAAGATGAGCAAGCTGTATCAATCAAAAAAGATAAAAGTGTTTCTTTGTTTGGCGCAACATCTTGGAGATGCAAATCTTCTACAAACGGTATTGGTTCTATGTGTTCAACAGACAGTTCAACACCAATGATATCTATAGAACCTGAAAATGTCAATTCATCAATTAAAGTTGAAATTGACAATTCTCAAAATCATCCAAAGATGTCAGAGCCTACAGATTTTGGTGTAGATTTAAGATCAATCTTTAGTGGCCTTGGACTTCCAAACATTGCAACTTATTTACTCATAGGTATAGGAGTTATTATTGCAATTATTATCCTTAAAAAGTTTTTATGTTCAAAAATAAATTCACAGAAGCATAAAGTAATAACATTATCTCATCCATCGATATCTTCTTCAGATGATTTTAATTAATTAAAATATTAAAAATTTGATTAAAAAATTCAATTTTATAATAATATAAATTCATTTCTAATTGTATATAATTATGCCTTTTTTAATATATTATAGTTTCATCATGAAAAAAGTTAGATTTTTACTTCAATCACCCATCAAGCGCACATCCATCACGCGAAAAAACCCCTAGTCAACCACCCAAGCACCATACCCGCATCACGCACCCACCCACCCACCCATCAAGCGCACATCCATCACGCGAAAAAACCCCTAGTCAACCACCCAAGCACCATACCCGCATCACGCACCCACCCACACACCCATCAAGCGCACATCCATCACGCGAAAAAACCCCTAGTCAACCACCCAAGCACCATACCCGCATCACGCACCCACCCACCCACCCATCAAGCGCACATCCATCACGCGAAAAAACCCCTAGTCAACCACCCAAACCACCCCTCACTCCCATCCTTTCCCTCACCAACCACCCAAACCACCACCCTCTCATCCCCACACCACCACCCTCACTCCCATCCTTTCCTCACCAACCACCCAAACCACCACCCTCTCATCCCCACACCACCACCCCTCACTCCCATCCTTTCCCTCACCAACCCACCAAACCACCACCCCTCTCATCCCCACACCCACACCCCTCACTCCCATCCTTTCCCTCACCAACACCCAAACCACCACCCCTCTCATCCCACACCACCACCCTCACTCCATCCTTTCCCTCACCAACCACCCAAACCACCACTCCCATCCTTTCCCTCACCAACCACCCAAACCACCACCCCTCTCATCCCCACACCACCACCCCTCACTCCCATCCTTTCCCTCACCAACCACCCAAACCACCACCCCTCTCATCCCCACACCACCACCCAAACCACCACCCCTCTCATCCCCACACCACCACCCCTCACTCCCATCCTTTCCCTCACCAACCACCCAAACCACCACCCCTCTCATCCCCACACCACCACCCCTCACTCCCATCCTTTCCCTCACCAACCACCAAACCACCACCCCTCTCATCCCCACACCACCACCCCTCACTCCCATCCTTTCCTCACCAACACCCAAACCACCACCCCTCTCATCCCACACCACCACCCCTCACTCCCATCCTTTCCCTCACCAACCACCCAAACCACCACCCCTCTCATCCCCACACCACCACCCAACCACCACCCTCTCATCCCACACCACCACCCAAACCACCACCCCTCTCATCCCACACCACCCCCCTCACTCCCATCCTTTCCCTCACCAACCACCCAAACCACCACCCCTCTCATCCCACACCACCACCCCTCACTCCCATCCTTTCCCTCACCAACCACCCAAACCACCACCCTCTCATCCCCACACCACCACCCTCACTCCCATCCTTTCCCTCACCAACCACCCAAACCACCACCCCTCTCATCCCCACACCACCACCCCTCACTCCCATCCTTTCCCTCACCAACCACCCAAACCACCACCCCTCTCATCCCCAAACCACCACCCCTCTCATCCCCACACACCACCCCTCACTCCATCCTTCCCTCACCAACCACCCAAACCACCACCCCTCTCATCCCCACACCACCACCCTCACTCCCTTTCCCTCACCAACCACCCAAACCACCACCCCTCTCATCCCCACACCACCACCCCTCACTCCCATCCTTTCCCTCACCAACCACCCAAACCACCCCCTCTCATCCCCACACACCACCCCTCACTCCATCCTTTCCCTCACCAACCACCCAAACCACCACCCCTCTCATCCCCACACCACCACCCCTCACTCCCATCCTTTCCCTCACCAAACCACCCAAACCACCACCCCTCTCATCCCACACCACCACCCCTCACTCCCATCCTTTCCCTCACCAACCACCAAACCACCACCCCTCTCATCCCCACAACCACCACCCCTCACTCCCATCCTTTCCCTCACCAACCACCCAAACCACCACCCTCTCATCACCCACACACCACCCCTCACTCCATCCTTTCCCTCACCAACCACCCAAACCACCACCCTCTCATCCCCACACACCACCCCTCACTTCCATCCTTTCCCTCACCAACCACCCAAACCACCACCCCCTCCATCCCCACACCACCACCCTCATCCCATCCTTTCCCTCACCAACCACCCAAACCACCACCCCTCTCATCCCCACACACCCACCCCTCACTCCCATCCTTTCCCTCACCAACCACCCCAAACCACCACCCCTCTCATCCCCACCACCACCCTCACTCCATCCTTTCCCTCACCAACCACCCAAACCACCACCCCTCTCATCCCCACACCACCACCCCTCACTCCCATCCTTTTCCCTCACCAACCACCCAACCACCACCCCTCTCATCCCCACAACCACACCCCTCACCCCATCCTTTCCTCACCAACCACCCAAACCACCACCCCTCTCATCCCCACACCACCACCCCTACTCCCATCCTTTCCCTCACAACCACACCAAACCACCACCCCTCTCAATCCCCACACCACCACCCCTCACTCCCATCCTTTCCCTCACCAACCACCCAAACCACCACCCCTCTCATCCCCACACCACCACCCCTCACTCCCATCCTTTCCCTCACCAACCACCCAAACCACCACCCCTCTCATCCCCACACCACCACCCCTCACTCCCATCTTTCCTCACCAACCACCCAAACCACCACCCCTCTCATCCCCACACCACCACCCCTCACTCCATCCTTTCCCTCACCAACCACCCAAACCACCACCCCTCTCATCCCCACACCACCACCCCTCACTCCCATCCTTTCCCTCACCAACCACCCAAACCACCACCCCTCTCATCCCCACACCACCACCCCTCACTCCCATCCTTTCCCTCACCAACCACCCAAACCACCACCCTCTCATCCCACACCACCACCCCTCACTCCATCCTTCCTCACCACCACCCAAACCACCACTCCCATATCCCTTCACTCACCTACCACCCAAACCACCACTCCCATATCCCTTCACTCACCTACCACCCAAACCACCACTCCCATATCCCTTCACTCACCTACCACCCAACACCACCCACCCACTCTCCCCCACCACTTATCCCTTCACTCACCTACCACCAACCACCACCCCTCTCATCCCCACACCACCACCCCTCACTCCCATCCTTTCCCTCACCAACCACCCAAACCACCACTCCCATATCCCTCACTCACCTACCACCCAAACACCACTCCATATCCCTTCACTCACCTACCACCCAAACCACCACCCTCTCATCCCCACACCACCACCCCTCACTCCCATCCTTTCCCTCACCAACCACCCAAACCACCACTCCCATATCTTTCCCTCACTACCACCCAAACCACCACTCCCATATCCTTTCCCTCAACCTACCACCCAAACCACCACCCCCTCTCATCCCCACACCACCACCCTCACTTCCCATCCTTTCCCTCACCAACCACCCAAACCACCACTCCCATATCCTTTCCCTCACCTACCACCCAAACCACCACCCCTCTCATCCCCACACCACCACCCCTCACTCCCATCCTTTCCCTCACCAACCACCCAAACCACCACTCCCATATCCTTCCCTCACAACACCCAAACCACCACTCCCATCCTTTCCCTCACCAACCACCCAAACCACCACCCCTCTCATCCCCACACCACCACCCCTCACTCCCATCCTTCCCTCACCAAACCACCAAACCACCACTCCCATATTCCTTTCCCTCACCAACCACCCAACACCACACTCCCATATCCTTTCCCTCACCTACCACCCAAACCACCACCCCTCTCATCCCCACACCACCACCCCTCACTCCCATCCTTTCCCTCACCAACCACCCAAACCACCACTCCCATATCCTTTCCCTCACCTACCACCCAAACCACCACCCCTCTCATCCCCACACCACCACCCCTCCCCTCCCCCATCCTTTCCCTCACCAACCACCCAAACCACCACTCCCATATCCTTTCCCTCACCAACCACCCAAACCACCACTCCCATATCCTTTCCCTCACCAACCACCCAAACCACCACTCCCATATCCTTTCCCTCACCTACCACCCAAACCACCACCCCTCTCATCCCCACACCACCACCCCTCACTCCCATCCTTTCCCTCACCAACCACCCAAACCACCACTCCCATATCCTTTCCCTCACCAACCACCCAAACCACCACTCCCATATCCTTTCCCTCACCAACCACCCAAACCACCACTCCCAATCCTTTCCTCACCAACCACCCAAACCACCACCCTCTCATTCCCACCACCACCCACCCCTCACTCCCATCCTTTCCCTCACCAACCACCCAAACCACCACTCCCATATCCTTTCCCTCACCAACCACCCAAACCACCACTCCCATATCCTTTCCCTCACCTACCACCCAAACCACCACCCCTCTCATCCCCACACCACCACCCCTCACTCCCATCCTTTCCCTCACCAACCACCCAAACCACCACTCCCATATCCTTTCCCTCACCAACCACCCAAACCACCACCCCTCTCATCCCCACACCACCACCCCTCACTTCCCATCCTTTTTCCCTCACCAACCACCCAAACCACCACTCCCATATCCTTTCCCTCACCAACCACCCAAACCACCACTCCCATATCCTTTCCCTCACCAACCACCCAAACCACCACCCCTCTCATCCCCACACCACCACCCCTCACTCCCATCCTTTCCCTCACCAACCACCCAAACCACCACTCCCATCCTTTCCCTCACCAACCACCCAAACCACCACTCCCATCCTTTCCCTCACCAACCACCCAAACCACCACCCATATCCTTTCCCTTCACCCAACCACCCAAACCACCACTCCCATCCTTTCCCTCACCAACCACCCAAACCACCACTCCCATCCTTTCCCTCACCAACCACCCAAACCACCACTCCATATCCTTTCCCTCACCAACCACCCAAACCACCACTCCCATATCCTTCCCTCACCACAACTCCACCCAAACCACCACCC